ACAAATTTGTGTAAGTTCAGTAAATTGTTTTCTATTAGTAAGGTATGACTGAATTAGATTTGAGATATTACCCCGTATTCCATATGAATTTAGTTTTTTGAGCAAGTTTTTGTGATCGACGCAGTCGAAGGCTTTGCTCATATCCATGAAGATGGCACATATAGGATAGTTTCTATCCATACTAGAAATAATTGGTTCGATAAATTTATGTATGGCCAAATTAATGCCTTTTCCTTTGCGAAATCCATATTGTTCATCAGTTAATATTCTATTTTTTTCTAAATATATATATGCTTTGTATATTATTTTCTCGAATATTTTTGATATGATTGGGATTAATGCAATTGGCCTATAGTTTGTCATTACAGTTTTATCGCCCTTTTTGTGTAATGGTGTTATAATCGTAGTTTTGAGCTTATCTGGATAGATGCCTTGTATTATAGAAAGGTTTAATATGTAACTAAGGTGAGGTGAAATAGATTGGGCTACAGCCTTTATCACTTTAGTAGATATTTCATCATACCCCATACTATGCGTGTTTCTTAAACATTTGATTTCCTTTGCAATGTCTTGTGGTATTGTAGGGTTCATAAACATAGACGTAGTGCTTGTTTCCTGTATGCGGAATTTGTTATTGGCTAAGTTCATTTGGTCAATTGAATTACGGGTTGGCAGTGCGGGATTAATAAAGTATTCATTGAAATTGTTTGCTATTAAGATTGGATCCGATATTTTTTTATTATCTAAGTAAATGTCAGTTATTGGTTCTCATAAAATTATTTCTATTGTATAGCTACTTAACATCAGTACATAGTATAAAACAAAGTCGCTATCCGCGCCGTCTGTCTGTCTATCCTTATGTATGCTTAGATCTTTAAAACTACGCAACGCATTTTAATGCGGTTTTTTAAATAGATAGAGTGATTCTTAAGAAATGTTTATATGTACAATACATGCCTATTGCACCTATGCGAAGCCGGGACGGGTCGCTAGTAATAATATAATTTAGTATTGATTTGTAAATGAATCTTATTTTAAGGACCACTATTTGACTGCATAATAATGGATATACTGGACGTAATTTAGAGGTATTTTTGATTATCATATAAGTAACTACCTAATTTTGAAATTTTATGACATCAAATTCATATTTGTTTCATGTTTATTTCTGTATTTAAATTTAATAATGGCTATTATTGTACAAATTGCTGATTTTAATGAAATCAACTCGTCGAGTACCGGTTTTATAGACACAATTAAAGAACAATAGGTCGCGGTCACCGGTGACCGCTTGGTGTTTGACAGTTTAAATATGATTTTTATACCTATAAAATTTGTACGCCATTGTTGGTGAAACATGGTCGCACAACGAACTATTTAATATCTTGCATGTCTGACTACTTAATTTACTTATGTAAACGCATGTTTGACTAATAAACGATTTTCTCTCTTTCTTTGAAGTCCTAGTAAGTACTTACTGTTAGAGCAGGGATGGATTTACTATAAAAGTAAAAAATAACCATAAACTAAAAACCGAAAATTAAAAACCAAAAAATAATTATTACTCTCCAAACTGTGAAGTTTTTGGAGTGATAGGTAGAGGATATTAACTGCCATGTTCTGCTGGAGTGTTACCTTTTCTTTTTCACAGATTCTTTCCTCTGGATTTGAAGCAGGGACTTGTAACAGCATCCTAGCTGTCCCTCTGTCAGAAGATGCTGGGGTTGTACCAACTGATAGTTTAGAACTCGGTGCCTCAAGACCTAATCAAAATTATATTAAAACCTAAGGACATACCTACATATGTTCATTAACTAGATACCTATGTTGGCGGGATGGAATAATCATGTGAGCGAGGCTTATATGATTGCTAGGCTAAAGTTTAGAACATGGGTTCTCAATAGTAAACCAACACAGAATGAAATATTTAATGAAATGATTCAGGCACGGAAACAGTTTAAAAGTGAACTGAAATGGTGTCAAAACAACCAAGACCAGATTAAAATGAATATGTTAGCCAAGCATCATACGAGTTCAAATTTCAAAAAGTTCTGGAAATATACCTCTACTAATACCTAGTGCAAATACAAAGCTCGATTCCTGTTAAGTGTCGATGGTCTGTCCACTCCAAACGAGATAGCCAACATGTTTAAGGTTGACTATTCAATAAAGTCTCCGCTGGGTCCGGCATGTCGGGAGTTTGACGCCTGTCTTACCGACATTACCACGGTCGTACTTGCAAAGGATATTAAAATTGCTATTACTAAAATGACAGGCGGTAGATGCCCTCGCCATGACGGACTCAGTGTTGAACATGTGAGATACCTGCCTCGTGTGCTTGCTACGTTATTCAATTTATGTATAAATCACGTAATCATGCGGAATTTGGTGGTACCCATACCTAAAAAGAGGACAGGAGACATGGCAGACAAGACAAACTACAGGAGTACAGGCCAATTTCTTTGGCAACAATTGTTGCCAAGGTGCTTGACAGTGCTCAACTCACATTTCACCAAACACATAGAGCTACACGACGCCCAGTTCGGATTCCGGCCTGGGTTGTCAACAGAAACAGCTATTTTTAGTTTGAAACACACTGTCAAGTACTACACAGATGGGCGTACTCCTATGTATGCCTGTTTTCTAGACCTTAGCAAAGTCTTCGATTTAGTTTCTTATGATTTTCTGTGGCAAAAGCTGGCAGGGACTGGGGTGCCGCCAGAGTTTGCGTCGCTTCTGCGGTATTGATATCTTAATCAGAAAAATAATGTGAAGTGGGCGTATGAACTTACGGATAGCGGGTTGGGGTGTGGGGTGAGGCAGATGGGTTTGAGCTCACCCTTGGTCTTCAACCTGTACGTAAATGCTCTGGTTAAGAAGCTCAGCGGCATGCATGTCGGCTGTTATGTTGATGGTGTCAGCTGTAACAACTTTAGCTGTGCAGACGACATGGTGCTGCTGGCTTCGTCAATCGGGGCTCTCCGGAACTTACTCACAGTTTGTGAGTCTTTTGTGGCCTCACATGGTCTTTCTTATAATGTGAAAAAGACTGTCTACGTGGTTTTCAAATGGGATCACAAGAATCCGCCTATTCAACCGATTGTTTTGGATGATGTCTGCTTAAATAAAGTATCTCAATTCAAATATCTCGGGCATAGTTTACCGATGCTGTTGATATGGAGAGGAAACGCAGAGCATTGTCGGTTCAGGCGAATATGTTACCACACAGGTTTTATCGTTGTACAGACGCATTTAAAATAACTTTGTTCAAGGCGTATTGCACTTCACTGTACACGGGAAATCTGTGGGTTAACTACACCCAGAGAGCGTACAATGCTCGACGGATCCAGTATAATAATGCGTTTAGGGCTCTGTTGCGGCTTCCATGTTTCTGTAGTGCGTCAGCAATGTTTGCTGATGCTTACACTGATGGATTCGCTGGTTTATGGGGCAAAAAGACCGCATCGCTCACCAGTCGCTTCCGTGGAAGTCGCCACAGTATCCTTACTGCTAGCAATCGATAGACATGATTGTTCATTGATGCGAAAATTAGTGCAGCGGACCTGTTTACTATTACATATTGATAATGAATCTATAGTTATAATTATGTATATTATTTTGTTCTTTCTTTTCTATTATTTTGATGGATCTCAGTTATCCGAATAAATAAACTTTATTTTTATAGAATTATTTACATATAGTTATTTATTTAAAATTCTCTACAAATTACATTTTTAAATACTACTTACAAAATAAAAAAAATAATATTTAGTAATATAAAAATAGGGGCCGACCAGTAGCAGGAGCATGGTCTAAGCTTCCGATGGTTAGGGCAGCAGAGACAGAAACCTCTTCACGACACGTGCCGTTTCTAGGAGTACTGCCTTCTGCATCAGGCCTTTGATCCATCCACCTAACGCCAGCCTCCTTAGATGGATGTCGAGGCTTTTAGGCATTAACCCATTGGCCGACACGACTATCGGCACAATGATAGCCGAATCCACACTCCACATGTCGACAACCTCGTGAGCTAAGTATAGATAAATATCTAAGCTAAGCACAAATAAAATTATTTGTTTATCTTTCTCAGCTTTCACGAGGTTCTCGTCATGGGAAATGGTGACATCGATTATCATCGTACAGCGTACTTTGGTCTATCACCACTATTTCAGGTTTATTGGCTACAATAGTCCTGTCAGTATTGATAGACCGGTCCTAGTACAATGTGATATACCGAGGGCTGGGCTCGCTGTCATTGCAGTGGTACCCTCTTTGAGGAGTGGCTTGAGAGACGCTACGGCGTCCTCACCTACCGCCTACGCAGGTGCTTACCGGGCACGGAAGTTTCGGTAGGTTACTGTTTCGACTTCTAACCTGTCGGTGGGTGTGTAAGCTATAAGTGCGTATGACCAATAATACATATTTTTTTCCTTTTAGTTTTTACTTTTCATTTGTCTTTAGTTTTTAAAGTCGGTTTTTTTAAACGCAGTTTTTTAATTTTATTTTATACTTTTTAGTTTAATATATTATACACAACTCACGTGGATGCAAAGTCCTCATCAATACAAATTATCAAACCCAAACACAAGGTAGCTATTGGTAACCGCCGAGGAGTTGCCTCAGTTGTCATATTACTTCATCACCAGACCCTTAATGACAATTACACCCCATCTAGGTGTAAAGTTCTCATCAATATTAATTAATCAAAATCAAGGACAAGATAGCTACTGTTAACCGTTAAGGAGTTCCCTCAACTATCGTACTATTCCATCATCAGACCCTTATTGACAATTACACCCTACTTTTTTTATGGCATAATCCTAATCCCCAAAAGGTCGGTGACATACCGATAGCTTACCATCAAGTGATACAGTACAGAAAATTATTAGTATAATTTGTGTAGATAGATTTCATTTATTTTAATCAAACTTTCGGAGCAGAATCGACTAAACATGTATATTTCTAAAGATGTATAGGTATAAGTCGGTTAAAAATATTTCTTAGAAGCTGTCAGGATCAAATGCAGGTTCTAGTTCTGATTTACGACAGACAGGTGGATATCTTGGATTTTTCTCACAGATGAATGGTGCAGGCTTCTCACACCAAAGGTCATTGAGTAAACCATTTCGATACATGGATCCACACGATTCTCCTGTAGTGGCATTATTTGGCTCCCCACCAGAAAACTTGTTGTACCCTGCTTCTACCAACGTTTGTCCTGAAAATTAAGATTATTTTGATAGATTAGTCATATAACAGGATATAAAATAATTCTGGGACATTTCAGTGTTTGAAAATAGACAATGATAATTTAAAACTTATTAATTAACTAGCTTCTGCCAGCGGCTTCGCCCGCGATTCCAGGGGTGAAATACCTATGTATCACTTCAGACCATAATCTACCTCTGTTCCGAATTTCATTCCGGTCCCTTCAGTCGTTTTAATATGACTGAGTAACAAACATACACATAAACTCACATATTTTCATTTATAATATCGAGGCAAGCTAATTTCAACCATTGGCCTTTCAGTTACAGCGTAAAGTCTATGAATGAGTATTGTAAACGTTAGAGTAGACAAATACAATCAGAAATCACCGAATTTCTAAGCTATCGGGAGTTTCACGTGTTATTGTGATTCAACCATAAAAGATAGACATATGCTGTCGAGGAATATTTTTATATAATTTTAAGGAGAATATTTCCGTCATACATGATTTCTATGTAACTTTAACCTATAAGCCTGCACACACGACGGAAGCTTAAAAAATGGAGTACCTTCTCCCGTTTTCCTAATATTTCCCTTCACTGCTCTGCTCCTATTGATCGTAGCGTAATGAAAAGTATACTATAACCTGCCCAAGAGTATGAAGAATAATTGTGCCAAATTTCGTTAAAATCCGTCGAGTAGTTTTTGTTTCCATAACGAACATACAGACAGACAGACAGACAGACAAAAATTTTACTGATTGCATTTTTGGCATCAGTACCGATCCCTAACCACCCCTTGATGGTTATTTTTTAAATATATTTTATGTACAGAATTGACCTCTCTACAGATTTATTATAAGTATAGATTAATAAAATCAGAACTTTTACCGTTAATAGTTCTCCAGTCAGCAGATTCACCCCAGTCATGGAAACCAATGAAGGCAACGTCTTTCCAGAAAGATCCGAACATCTTTCCACCTGGGTATTTTGCGAAGAGTTCTCTCAGTACTGTAGCTTCAACATCATTGTTGATTATGGCAAGGCGACCACCTTCAGCAGAACACGCGAAGTGTGCACGACTGAACGTGCGAGGCACTGTGTGGAACTTATAGCAGGAGCCTGTTCTTGCATCCAATTTGTATTCTAAAATAAAGACAGGAATTATTTTTTTTAAACATAATGTGGAAGTTCTTTAAATCCGTTAAAAATATTTATAGGACAGCTCACAGTCTAAATGTGTATTGATGAATGAATATGATATTGCTAAGTACGTATGGAGAATATGCCAAACTATTTTATGTTGTAGACTTGTAATCCAGCAGTGAACTCTTACAGGCTGGTGTAGAAAGATATATATACATACCTGGATCTACAGTCCCGCATTCATTGGCCAAAGTCTTATGTTCGCCTGAACGGAAGCAGATGTAAGGTCGAGTCTCATGACAGGATCTGTCAGCCGCTTCGCCATTCGCGTTAAACGTGATACAGTGTTCATTATTCCCCGCATTATTTGGCTCATTCTCTGCCCAAACTAACGGAATTTCACTAAGAGGTACACCTGGAATTTCATTAGATGTTATTTTCATAGGATGCCCTGAGGACACCAGCTGCTACATTTCAGTAGGCTAATGTTAAAACTTTCGTGAGACATACTAAATTAATTGAATTGCACAACTTGATTGCCCCTAGTCCTTTCCATCATCGTACCATAAGACAATCGGCGAAGGGTTCATCGATTCATGGTAGATATCCCACCCACACGCACAAAGCGCTTCGTATTCAGCTGCCTTGTGCGTACTGTTATGGAGTGGAATTCTTTACCAGTTTCTGTATTTCCTGAAGGGTAGAACCTGGCTGTCTTCAAGGCCCTAGTGAATAGTTTGCTTATGGCACGACGTGTTCCATCGTAGATCGCATCATCACTTACCACCTGCGAGATAGTGGTCAAACATTGGTCCATCAAATACAAAAAATATTTATATTATGTTTTTGGCTGACTCATGTAACTGTTTGACGAACATCTAGTATGGCTGTAAACTAGTCGAGTTCCACGTCAAACAGTACAATTAAAACATAATAATAATTTAAGTAGACGCTACGTTGCTGACCGTTGGTACCTTACTCAAAAGATGAGACATAATACAAGTACACGTCGTTTTTATATGAGACCGAGTAGTGTGACTCCGGTAAAGCCAGCCTACTTGTACCGAAGCATTATTTTTCCACGTGAATATAAACGATTGACTTCATCTTTAACATAATAGATGGATTTAAATTTCTTTTTAAGTACTAATATGATTTTCTAAGTCGTTTTCGTAACCCCGATATGGAGTATTGTGATCTAATCATTGTTGTTATAAACTAATGCAAGTTACAGTAAAGTCAAAAATAATTAAAATATAGTGTTGTAAATCGAAATACCTTCGATAGTATAATACAAGTTGCTTAGTGAAAAAGTCGCGTGAATTCCAGTAAAGATTTCTGATTGCGACCTGGAGCGATTCTTCAAGATGAACTGCATCTCGGTACTGATTTCTGAGTTGACTGGTGAAGCCAGTGTTGCACCTAAATAGATGGACATAAAAATATTGTAAGTATGAGTGTAGTTAATGATAATTGGGATGATGACAGGGTATGAAAATTAAAGATATAATTAGTCCGTAAGGTAGGTAATGAAAAAATATTAGACACGTATTTTTTATTTTGTCTTATAATAAAACAATACTTATATAAAACGAATCAAAGTTTAGGTGTGGGGGGTGTAACGTCATTTCTACGTATAAAATTTTCGCTACATTTCACATCAATATATCGTAGAAAGTATTCGTTTCTGTAAGAAAATAAAAAATACTTGTCTAATGATTTAAAATAATCTAAATAAAAATTAGGCAGCTACCCTATTGACCCTCCTCTGTCTCGCACAATTAGGTGAAATATACAAACAAACAAAACAAAACAAATAACTATGAACTAAAACAAAAAAAAAGACTATGGGTTTATTCATAACTAGCGGCCCGTCCCGGCTTCGTACGGGGGGACTTAAGATTTTTTACATAGATTTACGTTTTATTTATATTTATTCTCAGTTTTTTTTAGCGACCTGCCCTCCGTTGTCGATGTCGCGTCTTAAGGTAACCGATTGAACAATTCAAAAGTTATCTAGAGCAAACTTTTATAAGGATTGAACCATTCATTAAAACGATTGTTATGGGTAAACTATAAAAGGTAGACATATGCTCTCGCGGACTTTTTTAAAAATAATGTTAAGATAAACAATTCATCTATAGAACATTTTTGTATAACTTTAACTATATGCTCAGCGCACGCCACGGAAGGCCTCAGAAACGATACTTTTCCCCCGTTTTTAAAACATTTTTGGTTACTGCTCCACAACTATAGGACCTAGCGTGATATTATATAGCCTATGTTACTTCTGAATAATGCAGCTTTCGAATGGTGAAAAAATTATTGCAATCGGTTCAGTAGTTTTTGAGTTTATTCATTACAAACATACAAAAATACAAATCTTTCCTCTTTATAATATTAGTATAGACTAGCCGTTGCCCGCGACTTCGTTAGCGTAGAATGTGATATTTAAAAGTAGTCTATGTTACTCCTTATGTTACTCCATAGTACACTGTTACCTCCCAGAAAAATTCTTGTCAAAATTAGCCGAGTCATTTCAGAGACTGGCCAGTACAAAAAGACAGTGCAGTAGTAACCATACAAAATTAAATAAAATATTATTTAGGTTTTTTTTATCGTATAAGTAGGCTTGCCTAACCGGTGAACTTACCTTCCAGTGTGCAGTGCAGCCGTGCGTCAGCCCAAGTAGCTGGTATCTTGACATGTTTGAACCAACCCTTTGCTTCAGTGCTGTACTCGTAGTCACAACGGAATGCTGCCTCTATAGTATAAGAAAAAAAAATCTACAAGGTAAATATGCACTTTCAAAGGGATCATTGACAACGAGGAACAAAATCATTCTCAGGCAATCTTACACCATTCATTATATTGACTAATATAGTTTGTGAAATCATTTAAAAAATAAATTGAATGATAATATCATGAGAACTGAACATTACCTACCTATATAGCAAAATAGAGTAAATAACCAAATAACAGAACATGTTACACCAGTCTTCATGTTGTTAGTTAACACACGTCTATATTTAATTCAAACTCGATGGTGTTATGAAATTAGTGCTTACAATAATCAGGCTTTTATAACTGAATATCAGTTGGGCATTGGTGCTCAAAGTTTTGAATATAGTTTTACATGTAGGTAAACTAATCTTAAGGACGTAGTTTTTTTAAAGGGGGCAATCATCGAATCGACTGCTCCCGCCTGGGTGAGGCGGGAGGGAGTATCAGAATCTTACTGACTAAAAGCCACCCCGTTCCTACTCCTGCACTTCGAGCCGGAGCTCCGGTAACCGTTTACGTTCTTCGCGGCTCCGTATCGGCATCAGCCCTGCTGGGCCCCATCCGTGGTGGTCTGATGGTTTAGGACGTAGTGCATAGGTATATTAAGGATTGGGTTAATGATTTGAGAATGGTGAATTCAGAGATTGGAGAGATTTGGGTAATGGGGTCTCCGGTACCCTCACTCACACGGCAAAACACGACAACGCAAACGTTGTTCAACGTTGGTTTATTTTCAAAGCTGTGTTAAAAAAAACTTGAAATGTTTATAAAAAGCTAAAATAAATGACAGTTATATAATTTAGAAATGTTTCAAGTTTTATAGAGGTTAGGTTAGTAAATTATAACAACTATATAATATTTCATTAATTACAAATACATTTTTGGAATGTCTCGTTGACCCCACAGTCAAACCTTTGCAACGGTTTTGTGGGGGATTAGATAATAAGATACTTACTTTCGTGATATAAAAATATAAATAAAATATAAAAAAATAAATCATCAGATATTTTGATTGTACATACCTAAAGACTTTGAACTTAGCGCTTTGGGTTGTAGATAATGTTATCACTATAGGTATTAAATAAACATTGGAAACCGCTGTCGGGAAGCCCACAAGAATCGCAGGAAAATAACAAAACAATATGCATACAAAACAATTAAAATTATATGCCGATAAGTATTTCAATAACATTCTAATCATTATAAATGTTAGCGACTAATTAAGCTATATAGTGTTATTTTAAAATAAATTACTAAGGTGCAGTATCTGAGGTAAATATAAGCAGACCCGCCTAATTTTATTATTATAAGCTGTTATTATTTTTACTTTAAATGTATACTACTCTATCAAGAAAGTACCGGGAAAAATCAAAAATACACAAAATGTTTGTTATTTATCCAAATTTATTTTATTACCTTCAAAGTATGCTTCTTTAGAAACGATACACTTGCGCCAAGGAATTCATCAAAACATTTTTTAAACGCTGCTTCCGGAATTGAGTTCAGTTCTCGCCTCGAATTCTCCTTTATGTCTTCTACCGATTGAAAACGGGTGCCACTAAGTGGTAATTTGAGTTTAGGAAATAGAAAAAAGTCAGCAGGAGCCATATCTGGTGAATATGGTCGTTGTTGGATGGTATTTATTGAGTGTTTGGTAAAAAATTCGTTCACAATGATAGCCTTTTGCGAACGCCCATCGTCATGGGGCAAAATCCAAGAATTTTCTTTCCACAAATTTGGCTTTTTTCGTCGAATTTGCTCTCTTAAACGCCTCATAACGCTCAAATGATATTCTTTATTTACCGTTAGACCTTCCGGTAAGAATTCAGAGTGCACAACACCGCGATAGTCAAAGAAAACAGTCAACATGACTTTGACTTTTGATCGACTTTGGAGTGGTTTTTTCGGTTTCGGTTCAGTTGGAAGGCGCCACTCCGAAGCTTGTTGACTGGTTAGCATGGGTCAAAAACCTATGTCTCGTCACCAGTAACAATGCGTTTCATGAATGTTGGGTCCGAACTGACTCGTTCTAGCATGCGACTCGTGCACGCACGACTTTCATGCGATCTTAGAGAAAATTCAGACCTTTTGGGACTAGCCGAGCAGCAATATGTTTCATACCCAAATTAGTTAAAACCGACTTCAAAAAACCAAAAACAAATAATAAACAAAAAGTCAAAACTAAAAAGAAAAAAATAACTATCATTAGTACTGATAGGTAACCCACCCACTGAGATTAGAATTCGTCGCCATAAGTTCTATACAAAATTACTCATTAAAACCTTAATAGACAACTAATTCACAATTTTGTGGCCATTAAGTTATGTCATTATGATATGAGATTATCATTATGATGTTAACTTCAGTTGCAGACGTTGATGGCCTACCAGAGCGAAGCAAATCGTCCATCACATCTCGACCGCTTTTGAACGCTTTGAACCACTCATAAGCACGAGTTTTTGATAAAGTCGATTCAACGTAAGCCTTCTGTAACATTTTCAGTGACTCCGAATACGAAATTCCATTGGCGATGCAACTTTATTCGATATTTATGTCCATTATGAAATTCGCAATACACACTAGGTACATATATGATAGATGGCCGTATGTATGTACAACCTAATATTGAGTAACCTTAAGGTATTAAGTTCGTAAGTCCACCATTGTAATTATATTGTACAAAATGCGTAAATAACTGCCTCATTGGCCGAGTGGTCGCAAGTGCCACTGCCGGGCAAGGGGTCTCAGGTTCGATTCCCGGGCCGGGAAATTATGACTGGGTTTTTAAAAATACTTAGTAGTGGCACGGAGTCTGGAATTGTACCCGGTGTGTCCGGTATATGGCAATAGGCTTACCCCCTTATTATATGGGACTCATAAGCAACTCATGGCATTAAGTGCAGTAATGTGCAGATCAGCCTACCCCTTCAGGGATAAAAGTCGTGATATCATATATATATGTAAAAATGTGTAAATAAATAAAAAAGAAATAAAAATAGATAATAAATTATTTATTTTCACAGCACATCTTTCATAACTTATGTCAGCATTTACACTGAGAATAACCTTAAATTAATACATTTTGAGTAATGATTTTTATACAAGGAAAGAGCATAATGTGTCAACCCAATCGGGAACACGTTGGTCAAATGATGAGGATGATGATGATGAGTTTGTAGACCGATTTATCCAAGAGCCTTGGCTTGTCCAAGCACGCCGATAGCTGGTCCAGCCTTGATGATACCGTCTCTGACGTTGCGGCCCACTTTCTCCTGTAAAAAATAGAGGTTATTTTTATAATAACGGTAATAAAATTAATAATAATGGTTTGTTCACGTAAATATACTATGAACGTCGCGCGACGTTGCTGCGACTGCGCACGCTGCTCATGAGGATGAGTCCCTCTGTGACACGAAACTAATAGAGCTTTTTTCAGTATATTTACAAGAGTAAACTGGTACTTACTCGCCTCATTGGCCGAGTGGTCGCAAGTGCGACTGCAAGGGGTCACGAGTACCCAAAGCACTAATGGGTTTTTAAAAAAAATCTCAATAGTAGCATGAAATCTGGAAATGTGCCCGATATACGGCAATATTCTCACCCCCTATTACATGGGACTCATAACATAAATAGTGAAAAATGGGTGTTACATTGTACAGTAGCATTTAAGTGCCGTAATTGATTTATTTATTGATTTATTTATTTTATTTTATTAATTATATGTATGATTAATATTATATGTACAATTATTATACTCTTATGTGAAGGCTGCGATCCCTTTGAGTATTGCCAGTTGACACTTAGCAAAGTGTCATATAGTATATTCCTTTTCCTGTCGCAGGTCTGCAGGAAGAAATCCCTTAAGGGATATGCAGTACCTATGTACCTCATGCTTACCTATAATGTGTTGTGTCTTATAATATTGTCTGTATGGTGTGGGTACATGAAATGATAAATAAATAAATAAATAAATAGTAATCCATTTGCATCAAATAATGCTAATGGTAAGTAATCGGCCTATGGACACCCGCAACACCAGAGCGGTTACAAGTCCGTAACCAGCCTTTTGAGGGTTGGCAGAAGGAAGTTTGGTCCTCAAAATTAAGATTGGGTTCGACAAATTTTTATTTTTAACTTTTTGAATAACCTGTGATTTGTACTAAAGAATTTAGTACAAGGCGGATATTTGTGTGGGAGAGCCATGCTTCGGCACAAATGGGACGGCTCGACCGGAGTGATACTACGGCATCACAGAAAACCGACGTGAAGCAACGCTTGCGTTGTATTTCGTCGTGTGAGTGAGGTTACCGGAGGCCCAATTACCTTCCCCTTCCCCAATCTCCCCAATTCCTGAATCCCCAACGATCCTCAAACTCCTAATCCCCAAAAGGCCGGTACAGCGCACTTGTAACGCCTCTGGTGTTCCAGGTATCTATGGGCGACGCCGATTGCTTACCATCAGGTGATTCGTCTGCTTGTTTACCAGCTTATGCCACAAAAAAAATATGAATAAGGCCACGCAGGGCATTTTTTGGAGGGGGTTAGCTGAGGGTGGCCATCGTGGGCCTGTTAGTGTACAAATCTCACACTCCCTAGTCTTTCTCTCCAAATAGCTAAGCGCCTTTAGAAGGTTTCCCCCCGTCATCAAAAAAAAGGAGGCTACTTTGTTAATCTAGCGCAGTGATCAATTGCTTGTTAAAACTTATATTGGGCAAATTTCTAGTACGATCAGGGTTGAGAATGATGAAATGAGTACTCACGATCTTCTTGAAGACCTTCCACCTCGGTTCTGGCGCGGCGCTGACGGCGCTCAGCGCGAGCAGACACGCGAACACGAACAAGAACACACGAGAGAACTTCATATTTACTATTATTTTGATTTACTTTCAAATCTTTACTAGGTATCTTGCTACCATAAGCGCTTGTCTTCGAATGATGTTCCACAACCAACACGGCATTTTATATACTATTTCAACCCAAGATACTATTTGCGGTTCACAAACAAAACGTCATATGAATATAGACTTTAGTTAACCGTAATAAAGATTGGTTTGTTTGGTTTCATGTGCCTTGGTAAACTTGTGTTGATAACGGTGCATGTCGTATTGACTTTAGGGGACTCCCTATACCACGAGCTTTATTAAGTCCCTGAACAAGTTGATATTATTATGATTCGCTAAACTGCGAATTGAGATATGACAGTTGTGTTCATTGATAATA